ATATATATATATATATAAAAGAAATAAAATAACGTCTATCAAAAAGGAGAATAAAATATAATACAATAAATGTTGCACAATAGTAAAACCAGGGTCCCTTCCATAACATTAGCAAACGATAAAAAGGAGAATAAAATGAATGAGAAGCTACTTAAGAAAGTGGTATCTAAACATCTTAAATTTGCTTATAACATGTTTTGTGTGTGTGTGTGTGTGTGTATTTGTGTGAATAATGGAGTACGGGTATCAATTGCATAACACGAAATGATGATTAAACAGACTAAATTTTATGACTAGATCTATATTTAGGTCATTATTGATGCTATCATGTATTATGTTTTGTTTTGAGATCCATCTCGGTTCTGTGTTCAAATACAGTTGAGCGTAGCTACTTTAAAGTGTTTTATGTTAAATTCAAATGAATAGCAATTGCTGTGTTTATTTTTAGGCCTATGTTGAATGCCAAATTTGTGAGCATGTGTTGTCTAATAGTTTGGCTAGTTTTTCTTACTGTAGGGCCTATGCCTTTTAACATAGTCAGTTCCTCTTAAGCGCCCCTCCCATCTAGGCCTCTAATAATAGAGGAGACTTCGCGTTTGTGAGATTGAGTGAATATGTGGATCCCATTTTTATTTTCAGGACGTATGTTTTCTCTTGGTATTCCATGAGTCTTTATATTTTTCTATTCAATAACAATTTGGGAATTGTAGTGAAGGCTATTCAGTGAATCGCAGACATGTTTGAGTTGATATTTTACATCAACTGTATCAGAGTAGATACGATGATGTCTGAGAGCCTGGCTGTACAATGATAGACTTGGCTGTGCGGTCAATGAAAGCTGGGTGGATTGAAGTAAGTGTTTCTGCCTCTGGGGTTCATGATAGATGTAGGTGGCTATGTTCTTATCGTTGATCTACTGTGACGTAAAGGAAAATTAACATGGTTGTGGAAATGTTCGAGTGTGAGTTTGATGGATCTAGGGATGAGTATCGCTAAGTGCCTGATAGAAAGCCTGTATCATCTACGCCACGTGTCCAGATAATAAAAATGCCGTTAATGTACTGTAAATATTAAAAGTATTAAAATGATATTGATCAAAAGTCCGACATAAAATATTAAAATATTGAAGACAGCCTAGTCACTAAAGCAGTGACTTGGTTGGATGCATGGTCATGTGTGAAGTACTGTAGATGGGCTTAAGGGTGAATTATTTAATAGTAGAGTCGTAAGGTTCGCTTTCTGTTAAGATGTTCCATTATGGTATTAGGTCAGTTTTTGGGGTACATTGGTGTAAAGAGAGTATACGTTCATGTAGCGATAGTGTTTTTTTTTTAAATTATTAAGTTAAGCTTGGTTTCCATACAATCGCTACCCGCTATCGCTGACAGCTTTCGGTGATGCTGATTGGTCGGGTGAATCTGGGAGCTTTCCCGGTCGCGTCGGGGACTGCTCCTACGTAGTACACAGAAAAGTCGGTGGCAGAAACCAAATTTGTTGTTAACATGTCGTACACCGATGATAGGTAAATATATAGCTAATTAATACTTCAAACTAGTAAAAATAGCTGGGGTGAAACAGTACAATAGCCTTCCTTGAGGCCAGTATAAAATGAATGAAGTGCCGTCGTGTAAGTACTAAAATAATAAATATACCTTGATTTAATTTTTAAAGCAACATATAAGTATTGTGTTCTTGTGTATAATGGAGCAAGAACCTTAAATGATAATCAAGGAAGCCGAATCAAACTAGGATAAATTAAATAATAGGCTTAATGTTATTGTTATAGTGTATTTCAATCTCCTTTGGCTGTAGATGATCTTCATTGCTGTGACACCTGTCTCTTATACACATCTAGATGTTTATAATACAATTCAAATAATTTTATCATTATAGTTTGTTGAGGGAAGAACACAAGGTCGGCAAATTAATTTTTAGAGGTTTTCGGGATTTCACTATATTTTTAACAATTTTTTTCGATAAGGATTACTGTATTTATTATTGATAAGAAAATATACACTTGCCTAAGAGTTACAATTAACCATGAAATAACGCTACTAAAGTACTGTGGTAGTGGCACTAATATTACAGTACTTACGCCTAATTGAACTTTGCTGTATTATTCGGTCAAGTGTACTTTTAGGTAATATTCGTTGTGGGTTTCGTATTTTAATAAGAACCTTCATATAATCAGTCAATTTTAATTGGTTTAAAAAGTACAAGGACGAAATTATTTTAAATGTATTGTTACCTACAAGTTTATTGCAAAGCTATCTATATTAGTTATGTTAGGCCTGTGTTGCGTTTTGCTTCATATCATTTTTGAGAAACATAATATGGTTAATATACCACAAGAGGTGTCACTTTCATACTTTTACCATGGACACATAATTTGTTATTGGTTACTTTATGATTTTTTTTTCGCTTAGCCAATCCTTCATGAGAGACGCAATGACTATATAGTGCCTAATGAACTGATTGTACATTTTAAAACAATTCATAACTTATTTCCTTAAATTAGTGTGTTATATGTAATTTAAATGAAAGAGGTTGTTCGCACAGTACAGTGCGAATAAATACTTTATTTTCACTGTCTTCCAAGTGCGATTTTTCACGGCATACCGTATGAGTTATGTAGAAAGATCGTATTCTCACGTTACAATATCATGTAGGACAGTCATAGCTAGCTTATAAAGGGAATTTCTCTAAGACTCGGCATAGTATTCACTATGCAGTCTTTTTCATTATGCTGGTCTAGCTAGTACTTAGTATGAGTAGGGTCCAGTGTAAGCCTAAAACATAAATGGGGAGGGACAGTCAGCCTGGGCCTCTATTTTAGCAATTGATATTGATAGTATAATAAAAATAATAGTAACTTGTTTTACGATTCTAACTTTTTTTTCCGTCAGGCTGATAATAGCCTACTTTCATCATTATTTTGATTATATTAGGCCTATTAATATTATTATTATTATTATTATTATTATTATTATTACTGTTATTATTATTATTATTAGTTATTATTACTATTATTGTTATTATTATTATTATTATTATTATCATCATCATTAACAAGAGTAATAATAATAACAACTACAATAACAGCAGACAACAGTACTACTTTAACAAGAAATATTCTAATAAAATTAGGAAATACAATAACAAAATATTTGAGGAAAATATATAACAATTAAATTAGAATAAATAGAAATTAACAAAAAGTCTGAAACTAGGGTTCTAGGCTGTTGCAGCCATAACGACAGTATAAAAAAAAAAACTACCGCCAATGCGCGCTACTTAGCCCAGTTAACAAATCAAAGTGTGTATTAAATATGGCTTTATTGGCGCTTTTTCAAGGTTGTTTCATTATCTTACCATCTTACCTGATTGGCCAGTGCTACTGTGTATAATAAGAACTTAAGAACTTACTCGCGCGGTACCGTGCGAACAGTGACTCTGAATACTCTCCTCTGTTTAATTGATTCGTTTCAATATTTTCAACACACAGTTGTTACAACCATTATCACCTCCGTATTGAATTAGGACATCTCGTCATTTGATTAATTATATACTAAACTGTATTTCTGAACTATTATGCTATCATCCGTAATAAAGGGTAGTAAGAATTGTCACATTTCATGTAAGATAGCTGTTTTATATATAATATACATAATATATATATATATATATATATAAAACGGTACATATATGTATATAGGCCTATGTAACGTTCAAAATGTATATATAATTATAGCATTACTGCTACAATTGACTTACAGTTTAACTCTATTATATAATAATAATAATGGTCGACTTATAGAGCGCATATCATAGAGACCTCTATGCGCTTAACATAAATAAGAATACAAATAGAATGATACAATATTATAGTGAATAATATAGTATATATGATAAATATATTAAAATACCAATCGGAATCCAACAATAAGTTATATTATCATCTTGCTCTGATGTACTATTGAGAATTCTGCTGATAATAGTGTCTTCATTATATATATATATATATATATATATATATATATATAATATAATAATAATGTAATAGGCCTATATGTATATGGCGTATAGAAAATCAGGAATTCAGTCACACTTACTTATTAATGCGGTACCTCCACCAAATGTGTCGAGCAGTGGGGAGAGTAGCTCCCCAAAACTCATAACCATTCCCATGAAAGGTACATCGAGAATAAAACCCGCTAGACAGACCATCCATCCTCGGTAGTATCGCCGATTCATTGTGGTTATACGATGACAAGGCTCTACTATAGGGGTATTTTCTAAGCCCATATCTGATACTGGTACATCAATATGAAGATGGATGTCGGAACGCTGAATCGGATGTGCACGGCCGTTCTGATGGAAAATTAATAAAATAAAGTTTTAAGGAACAGGAACATTATCAACATACTTAAAACAATAACTAGACAGAATTAGTAATAACAGCCCTTTACTTTCACTAGCTTTTAGCGAATCTTCATAAAACATTTTACCTTTATTGCATACAGCTGTCTCTTATACA